GGGCAGGCCCCCGGCAGCCACTTTCTATAAAGAACAATATGCATACTACATATCTCAGGCCGTGAACAAGGTCCCTGTCACAGTTACTCAGCCTTGCCACCATGGCACAAGAGTACCCAGAGATAATGCGTAAGCGACAATGCCTCAAGGGCTGGACTTTGAACCTCATGTAATTTTCACACGTCCTGAAATAACCTTTTTATTTTGTCAATCGTTAACGTGAATGCCACCCTCAGCTCTCCAGCTGGACAAGAGCACACTACGCCTGACCCCAGGCCCCAGGGCGTCCACGCGCCCACCCTGCCCGGCTTGGCGGCTCACTTCGCCCACCTCCCGCCGGCCCTTGGTCGCTCTCCCACCTTTGTAGGTAGGCAGACACTCCATCTTGTCAGCACAGGGGAATTTGCTGTCGCGAGGCTTGATGGGGCCCACGCGGCCGACGACATAGGGGTTGTAGTCTTGCTTATATGTCGTGAGCAAATCCATGTTCTCTTCGCTCCGGATGAACTGGTCAGGCTGGTGGACTTTCACTGGCACCACCTTGTGCGGCCCAAAATCTCTCCTGGAAGACAGCAGGTATACATCATCAGGATTCACGGGTTAGAAAAAGCGTTGCGCTTTGCATGCAGCCTGTCTCCACAAGCATGTGCTGAGATGCACCTTCCGCCTGCGCCCAGCCTCTCCTCTCGCTGCCCTGGAGGGATCGTCAGGCCTGCTCCTCGCCCAAGTGAGCCCTGGGGTCACCTGTGCGCCCCTCCTTGCTGCTCATTGGCATTTCTCCTGGGTTCAGACCCTGCCTGGCTCCTACTCCAAGCAGGGACAGCCCTCTATGGCTCCTCTTCATTCTTGTCACTTCTACATCGACACCCGTGAACCAGAATAAACTCTCTACGTGAAAAATTCGATCATTTTTCTCCCCGGTTTAGAGAGCCTTCCAAAGAGAACCAATTTTCCAGCATGACTCATGAGCTGCCCTGGCCCCATCCCGGCCCCCTTCCACCACCCTCTTGGATTCGCCCACACGGAGCAGACCGCAGAGAGTCACTACAAAGAGCCCGCTTCTGTACTGCTCTCCGCCGCCCCTTCACCACAGAGCTTTTCAGCTACTCCTACCAGTTTCCCTATAGTCCCAGTAGTTTATCTTGTTCATGTTTCTCTCTTTCTTCTACTTGACCTTACAGAAAACCCAGGAGAAAAAAATAAAATAAAAAGATATATTCATGAGGGCTGGTGAGATGGCTCAGTGGTCTAAAGCACCTACTTAGAACAAGCTTAACAAAGCACAGGGACCGCGGTTCAATCCCCCAGCACCACATGCCAGTCAGCCCTGCCCCTGGTGGGCTGAGCTGGCCACACACACACACATAAATAAATAAAAAAGAAAAAAAAGATATATTCATGTACATATGCAGGATAGTTTAGATAATTGTACTGCTGACTTCTGCTGGTCTATTGAAAGGAATAGTTAATGCTTAAATTTTTTTCTTTTTAATTTTTAATTTCTTATAACTTTCTTTGCCAAGTTTGCAGGTTTATATCTGATAACTTAAACAACTAATTTGAAGATAACATTATGCAATGCAACAACCATTGTGAATTTCCTAGTACTCTGTTTAATGAAGTTTTGTATCATTTCTACTAGATTTTTTGTTTTGTTTTGTTTTGTTTTGTTTTTACCATTCTGTACTCTATTTTAAAAAACAACGATTTGGGCCAGCCAGATAGCTCAGTCAATTAAAGCTCCTTCTTAGGCAGACACAGGGGTCCGGGGTTCAATCTCCGGCCTGCTGTGATGGCCCAACCCCTGGAACAAGCTGAGACTGGGATTGAGACTGGGCATGGTAGTGCATGTTTATAATCCCAGCACTTGGGAGGCTAAAAACAGGAGGATCACTACGAGTCCAATCTATGCAGTGAGACCCTTTAGACTCTGTACTAAATATATAAAACATTAAAAATTAAAAAATGATTTAATATTTTTAAAATAATAATAATTGGAGACCCTAAGTCTAATTTCATTACTGTCTGCTGCCAGTGCCCTGATATTTCAAGGAGTAATAAAACAGCAGGGCAAAAGAGAGAAGGATGAGGGGTAGATACAGTCAAAGTACACTGTGTGCACCTACGAAGATGCACAGCGCAACTCTGCTCCAGATGTCAACGTGCAGTGATTAGAAAGAAAGAAAACAGTGGGATCAGAAAGGCAGGATGAACTCCACTGAACAGGAAAGAGTCTGCCCAAATTGCTGTAGAGTTGTGGAAGTGCCCGGATGCTACCCATGCACCACGTGGAGCCCTCCTGGCCACACCCCTCTAGCTAGACTGCTGCTGCCCACAGGGTGGCCGGAGCTTCCCAGGCCTGTGCTAGCATCCCCCACACCACGGGCTTCCGCTTTAGTCTGTTTTTGCCTGAAATCCATTTATCCAACTGGACAAGGAGAAGGCAGCATTTTCTTGATGGTATTTGCCAAAGCAGCCACCCAAGGGAAAGGGAAGGTTTCCGGACAGGAAAACATTAGGCCCAGACCCAATAAAACCTACTTCCCGGCTGAAATCTGGAGCAGCATAACTGAGCCATGCTTGACTGGCAAAGGTAGCACGCTCTGCTGTACCCTGTCCTGCATGAGTTATACACGGGGCTGTCAATAAGCCCACACTGGATCCTGAAATCTCTTGGTGGGATGGGAGGAGGGAGTTAGGAAGCAGGAGAATTGGTCTCTCCGGGGCTCTGAGGGGAAGTGGGAGATGCTTCACTTCAACTCCCATAATACCTTCTGGCTGGATCCTAAAATATATCTTAGTGGCAGGTACAGGCCTTCAGCCTGGGCCACCGTCCCAGGAGCCCCACTACCGGCATTCGGCAAGACAAAGTTCAATGACCCTGAGAGGTCTGGAAGCCGACTGTGTATGGAGCTTATGGAGGAGAAAGGCTGAAGCAGAAGCCAAGCTCAGCCCCACCTCAGACCCTCCTTGGTGAACAGGTCCTCACCCTGGAGTCTTGTGTTAAACCACTTGGGGCAAGGAATGAAGAGTATAAAACAGAGACTGCAAAGATAAATGACAATACCTGAAAGTCCCTGTCTGGAAGCCAGCCAGAAAGTTAACTTTCTGTTACAAAGTTGACATTCTGAAGGAAATGTTCCCTCAGGAACTTGAACATACTCCCCAGGGGATGCAGGAAGGCTTGGGCAACCTGAAACCACACCCCTCTAAGCCTTCAGAGAGCCAACTTTGGTGATGGCCACCTAAGCCATTAGCCTTCTTCACTTCCAAGAACCATCAGGGGCTGCCCACAGGCAAGTAGTGAGAAAGAAAACAGGGTTTCTAGACTCCCAAGTGGAACCCTCCCACTCATCCGAGAGCACCCAGGAGTTCTTTCTGCGCACTGGCCCGCCATGTCCGTACCCTGCACATGCAGGCCACTGTACCTTCTTCTGCCATATGCCTACCACGGAGCCAGCATCCTTGCAGAGCCACAAGAGCCTTGCCTCCGGGGCCTCTGGGCACTCTGACAAATCAGCTCACTCAGTGCCCCACTCTCGCTACTTTCACAGGCAAAAGCCAACAAAGGCTCACACGCTCACCACGGAATGGGCTCTCCTGACATTGGTTCTCGAGGGCGACAGCAGACACAGTGAAATTCTTGCTCACCACATTACAGACTCTTTTCAATACAAAATTCATGCTCCTGTGTAAGTGTACAACTGTGGTTAAATTCACTGATCAGGTATACCTAAGTCACACAACTAGGAGACAGTGCAGCTCCTAAAAAGGGGGAAAATTTTAAATTTAAAAGTTGCTTCATTCAGTCCATACTCAAAAATAGTTACAGGAGCTTAAGACTGAATTTAATCAGAATTTATGTGTTTCCTCATTATGTTTTTATGTTGCAAACATTCGCTGAAACCTATCATTAGCCACAATGTAACTGCAAGTCCCCAGCCACATATAATCTTAGTCTTTAAATTCATGTGAAAGAAAAGTATTTTATTCTTCCCAGAAATTGCTCAAATTGACTAGCTTTTTCTTTTTTTAAGAACACTGGATCTGCCTTCCCTTCCTGTGGTATATTCCTAGTGCTTGTGCCCACTATGACTATAAGCCAAGAAAAAAGTTGGTCAGAGATCTAAGTTTCTTTTAGGTAAGTAGCTATAAAAAGTTATATAGTGCAGAAGGCCAAGAGTTAAGCTCAGAGTTAAGTAAAGGCTAACATGGCCCTGCTGGGAAAATCATAACGACTTGACTTCAATCCATTGGCAAAGCTAAAGAAAGGTGTTTGACAAAAATTCAACTAACAAAAAGAGGAAGTGGCCTTACAGCTACCTGGGCCACGGGCCCACAAGTGGGAAATGGGGGTTTTCACCATGACACAGGGGCCATGCGACACTTGTAAAAATTGGTATTTCCCTGGTAAATAATGCTCTTCGGAGCAATTTTTTAAAAAATCCTTCAGGTAAGATAGGGACCCTTCCCAGATCATGGCGCTAGAGCGCCTGGCTGAACTCAGGGCTGGATCCCTGGCCCTGGGCCTGACCCTGATGGGACACACAGAGCCTCCTCATCTTGGCAGGAGCAGGTGGGGTCCAGGACATGCACACCAAGACTCAAGCTTCCCCAAAACCATCTCCTCCTGCACCTCCAGCTTTCCCAGGGCTGCTGGGACTCACATTGGTCACTGCTCTGGAAAGGAAACACACATACACATTTGCAACACTACCTGAACGCACTACAGAGGAATCAAAATAGGCAGGCTGTGGAGCGCAGCCACCAGTGGGAGAAGGAATAGGCCCGGTGAGTCTTCGCTGCTTAAGCTCCTACTCACTGCTCAAGGTTCAAAGCCTCTGCCTGAAGGCCTTAGTCGGTGCCGTGCCAAGCAGCCAGAAGACGAGCATTTTCCATTCTCTGAGTACAGAAACAAAAGAGCAAATGTGAGGCCACCACAGTGCTAGAAAGTAAGGGAGAGGGTGGGCAAGATGGCTCAGTGGTCTAAGCGCCTGCTTAGGCAAGCACAGGGACCAGGGTTCGATCCCCGGCACCATGTGCCATGCCAGTCCTGCCCCTGGGCACACTGAGCCAGCCATGAAGAGCAGGCATAGTGGTGCGTGCCTATAACCCCAGCACTGGGGAGGCTGGAAACAGGAGGATCACTAGGTGTCTGAGCTGCCTAGCAAGACCCTGAACCAAGTACATAAAAAATTTAAAAATAAAAATTTAAAAAGAAAGAAGAAAACTGGAAAGAGGACAACAAAGGTAGGAAGCCAGAGTTCTGCATGACAGTGGGCTCAAATCCCCATTTGACCTCACACATGCAGCAGGCTGCAGATGACAACACAAAGGGTAGGAGCTGAGCTGTGATTAGAGCGGCCACCCAGAACACGGAGATCACATTTTGGACCTAATCAGATACTGCCTGTGAGCAAAGCTCTACGCAAGAATTTTTTAATACTTGAGACCCTATAACCCAATATTCATAATGTCCAGAACATATTGACGTACATATAGAAAACTGTGGCCACTGCTCAAGGAAAAAATGTAATCATGAAAACCAATCCCAAGGAAACC